TTTCTTTGTCACTCTTTCCTCATTCATTCTTTCCACATGATCAAACCACCGAAGCATTCCTTTCTTAATCCTGGTCACAACATCATCTTGCAAACCACACTCTTCTCTTATTACACAATTTCTTACCCTGTCATTCAGATTCAGCCCTAACATACTCCTTAACGACCGCATTTCTACTGCCTTTATTCTACTCTCGTGCTTCTTCTGCCACACCCAACTTTCACTACCATACGTTAAAGTAGGGACCAACACAGCATTGTGAATTACCATACGTGCCTTTTTCGACACATTTTGGCTCTTCACAATAGAGTGCAAGGCCCCATTTACTCTATTTCCCGCATTCACTCGTCGTTATATATCCTTATCATATCTCCCATCCCTGCTAAATACGCAGCCCAAATATACAAACTCATCTACTTGCTCGACCAACTCCCCTTCTATTCTTATTTCACAAATCGTTTTACTTTCTTCTCTTTCAAAAACCATAACCTTCGTCTTACTTGCGTTCACTTTCATACCCCTTTCTTTTAATGATCCGTTCATTAATGTAACCATCATTTGCAACTCGGCCGCCGACGACGCAAGAATGACTTGATCATCGGCGTACAAAAGGCATTTGACGGTTAACTCACCCATTCTTAATCCGCATTCTTCAACTTTCAAATTTTGCAAACAACTGTCCATAAATAGGTTGAACAGCCACGGGGAAGCCACACAGCCATGTCTGACACCTTTATGGATGTCAAACCAGTCCGAGTAGGCCCCGTTGATGCTAACACAAGCACTAGAGTCCCTATAAAGAGACTCCAATGCCTGTATCAAGCCAGCGCTCAACCCAAATGACTTCAGTGTTTGCCATAGCAAATCCCTATCCACTCTGTCATAGGCTTTTTCCAAGTCCATGAACGCACAAAAAACCTTTTGGTTTTTGGCCAGAAACTTCTCCGCGATCATGCGCATGGAAAAGACTTGATCTGTACATCCCATTCCCTTTCTAAATCCCGCTTGCACATCCCAAAATTTTCCATCAGTTTCTTTCATGACCCTTTCAATCAGTACCTTAGCGTACAGTTTTCCCACAATGCTAAGAAGGCTGATGCCTCGGTAGTTTTTACAGTCCTGCTGCGACCCTCTTCCTTTATATACTGGGACTATCACGGCTTTGCACCAGTCTACCGGTACCCGCTTCAGTTCCCAGCATAAATTAAACAAGGTGTGCAGCAGGCCTGCCACCACTTCCTCTCCAGCCCTTAGCATTTCGAGTGAAACTCTATCATATCCGGCAGCCTTACCTGCTTTCATGCATTTCATTGCTTTCATTATTTCATCTATACTTATCTCGCTACCTCTTTCCTCTTCTTTCGGCGTTTCTACTTCACTTAGTACACACGTTGTCTCCTCACTCATAAACACGCTTTCAAAATATTCCTTCCATCTCTTTAAACTCAAAACTTCATCATTCAGAATATAGCCATTCTCGTCTCTTATAGCATTCATCATAGGCTGTTTTGAATGTCCCCTGGCAGTTCTTACAAGTTTCCAGAACATTTTAATATTTGCCTGGAAGTTATCCGATATTCTTCTATCATTCTTATCCGTTCTTTCTTGCTTTTTACTTTCAACTACTTCTTTTACTCTCTTATTAAGATGTCTAAAGACTGCCTTTTTTCTTTCAATATCACCATTCGTACCACTAGATTTAGCAGCCTTTGTTGCTAGTAAATCTAGCCATGCTCTCTTCTTTGCTTCAACTTCCATACGTATCGCATCATCCCACCATAACGTATTATTTTTCCTTTCATTCTTTCTCTTACTAACACCAAATACTTCGGTAGCTGCATCCACTAAACCTTTCTTTACATTTTGCCATATATTCTCCAAGTCTAACTCCTTCATACATAATTCATCCAAACCACTTATATTTTCTTTCAGTCTACATTTGAACTTGTTTTTATCACTTTCATCTTGTAACCTTTCTGTTCTAATACGCTGTAACGCAGTGGTAGACACAGACGATCGATGGCGCCAACGCCTGAATAGACCATTAATTATAATAGAATAGACTATCACGGCTTTGCACCAGTCTACCGGTACCCGCTTCAGTTCCCAGATCTAATAATAAATACCTGTTCCTCAATTGGAATTATATGCTGCAGCTTTACTAGCAGAGCTCTTGTATGATATTGTAAATCTTTTGACCATATCCAAAGAAAAAAAAATTTTGCTTGGTCCGACTCAATGGTGGTTTTGTCTAGGTTGCAATCGGAACCAAGACGATGGCGAACATTCGTAGCAAATACGGTGTCTGAGATAACACGAGTATTAGACGACACTCACTAGAACTATTCAAGCTTCTGACAACTCGACTAATCCACAAGAGGAATTAAATCGTATGATTTAGCTAATCAAGATATTTGGTTGTCTGGCCCCGACTGGCTTAAACAAAGACGAATAGAAAAGGACACATTGGAAAATCCTCAAACTAAAATAGAAATCAAGAATACATTTTATATAGCTATAAAAAATAGCTTTCGTAGGAGAACTATTTTATCAAAGATTTTCATCGTTGTCAAAAATGAAAAGAGTTTTAGCATACTGCAGAACAGTCGTGAAGGCGGCTAGAAACTAGGACAAGCCCAAGATCAGTGGCGAAGCTAGAGCTCCAAGCTAGGGCAAGCCCAAGATATAAATTGATAAAAATATAGATTGTTGTTTTTAGCAGTTTTATAAAAATACACCAATCTTGATCTGTCTCCACGCTTCAGTTTCATATTCAGTGCTGTCAAGGACGTGTTTAACAAAGCACACAGAAAGCATACCACTGCTAGATAGATTGTATTACATCTCAGCAATTGCATAGCTTCGGTGGCTTTGAAGAAAGCAGTTTGGGTTTGTTTAAGGGAAAGAAAAAAAATATTTACATCCAATACAATACATGAACAAAAGTAAAACACGAACAAAATACGAACAAACCATGTACAAAATTAAAAAAAGGTACGCCTGGTAGATTTGAAACATCGAAATTATTTTGTTTAAGTTATATGCATAAAAGAACAGGTTACGACAGAAATTAGATATGGTATGATGAAAAGATAAAGCATTACACATTTTTTCACATAAAATAATGACTGTTTATTATATAATTATTTATTTTAAATTTTAATAAACCGTACAAAATGACATTTTTAACCTATATATAAATATTAAATTAAATACCTATAATATAAATATTAAATTATTAAATTAGCTGATAGCCGTGTTTGTGTCATCTGGCGTATTTACTTTAGACGGTGGTACCGTGAGAGTCAATCAATTTTCGTTCGATAAAATGACTTCACCCATAGAATTAAGTAGATGGCGCTATTAAAATATTATATACTGAAGGACTAAGAGAAATAATCTTTAAAAATATCAGTACAATGTATTCTTTTGATTTATTACATTAAAATTTAGGCTTCACATTAAAAAATATTGTATCAATTATTTGCAATAAAATTAAACTTATACCTATCTCATATTTTATACTGCCGTTCAAAATGATATTTTTAACTCATATGGTAATATAAATATTGAATTAATAACCTTTTGAATACGCCTAGCTCAATTAAACTTTAATACTAAAGATTCCTGTACCTATCAAAGTATGAAGAAATGTTTATTGAATTAAAATTTCATTCTTAAAGATTTTACCTTTTCCTCGCCGATTATCACTTCACCACACTTCAATTCATCACAAGGAACACTATTATCCTCCATTTTCCCTAAAAATCTTTAAAAAAAGCATAAATATACAACGCGCAATATTCATTCACTCAAGCTAAACACACAGAGTAAACATCATTGTAAACTAAACATTCGCACTACTGTGAACAGCTTTGGTGACAGTGGGTCGCCTTGCTTGACGCCTCTATCGATTGGGAAAACGTCTCCTGTAGATTCTTGCCTGATTCTGGCTTTACTTTCACTGTAAATATTTTTAATGATTTTAACATAAGTATTTTGGATCCTCTGTTCTTTTAAAGTCTGCCATACCGAAACGTGTTTAAGGCTATCGAAAGCTTTGGCATAATCTATAAAGGCCAGGTAAATGGTTTTACTGTATTCATTGTATTTCTGTATGAGCTGTTTGACTGTATGTATATGATCAATTGTACTAAAGTCTTTCCTGAACCCTGCCTGTTCCACAGGTTGACTTTCGTTGAGTGTGGTTGATATTCTGTCTAGAATCACTTTAGCTAAAACTTTATGTTCATTTAAGATGGGAGAAATGGGTCTATATTTTTCTATATCGTCTTTTGGACCCTTTATATGTAGGAGTATTGTATTTGATTCTGCCCATTGGCTCAGAATGCAGCCGGTACATAGAGTCTCATTGAAGACCTTTGTTAATATTGGGCTTAGTTCTTTAATTGTCCATCTCATAAGTTCGTTTGTGATTCTGTCTGGACCAGCGGCTTTTTCAACTTCTGCCTTTTTATAGTAACCTACGGTATGATTATTTTAAATAGTAATAAACAACCCTTATTTAGTCTTGAATTATAACTAACTACAGTTTCTTACTAAAAATTATAATTTAAAAGTAGAAAAAGAATAATTTAGAAATAGATAATATATGCTATATGATGTTACATAATCTTTTTTACTACTTTAATTTTTATTGCAATAAATTATAATTAATTCCATTATTGCCTCGATCTAAAAACAATCTACAATAACAAGTACCTGAACTATAATAACCTATATCTTAGGTGTATGTGCTAATAAATACGCTAAAAAGATTTTTTGTTTCTTATATTAAATGAATAACATAGTTACTAATTACGGTCGATTTTAAAATAACTGAAAATAATTTAAATTAATTGTACGCAGTAAAGCAACGATACATTTATTATGTGTTTAACATGAATGGGTCAGCTATACTGCGGACCACACGCTCATTAGTCATTGGTTAAATCCGGCTCGAAAGATCAAAAATGACTTAAATTTGAATTGTATGCCAGCCGGTGGCGCTAGGCGCACCCGACGTGGCGGCGCTGGTGCGCGAGCTGGCGCGCGAGGGTCTGGGCGACGCGCGGGTGGAGGCGGGCGCCGATGGCTGCATTGTGCACCTGCCGCGCCACGACACGCTGCTGCACGTGGAGCGGCACGCCACGCACGTGTTCTGCGAGGGACGCGCGCACGTGCGCCAGGCGCTGCGCCGGGCGCTCGCTGCGTGCACGCCGCACGTGTAGACGCTGCACGTGCACCTGCTGTGCCACGACACGCTGCTGCAAGTGAAACAGTACGCCACGCAAGTGTTCTGCGAGAAACGCGCGCACGTGCGCGAGGCACTGTGCCACGCGCTAGCCGCGTGCGCGCCGCACGTGTAGACGCTGCACGTGCACGCCGCGCGTGTACACATCTACACCAGCTGATACCACTTACACTATGACAATATAATAAATGACTCTAGGTCTATTATAATTGATATTGATAATAACAAATCCTGAGTTTTATTCTATGATCTCCTTCTTAAGGTGGCCCTAGTCGATAGCTCGAACTAAATGCTGGGCGGGGTTAAAATGCATGCTATCTCAGCCGACATCACGTGCGAAAGGGATAGACGCTGTGATGAGCAGTAAGAAGCTAGTGCGCACACACATACACACTCGAGTGACGCAATGCGCGACGGCGTCACCGCGTACCTACCTATGCGATTCATTTTTGAATAATAACATAAATTCAAACGGCAATTGTGAGCTTCTTGGCGCATTGACGTAGCAATGAGTAGCTGCGCTGGAGGCCGCGGGTTCGAATCCCACACGGAACAAATATTTGTATGGCCTACAAATAGTTGTTCCGGGTCTGGATGTTTGTCCTTGTGAAATTATGTTTTTAAACTGCCTCCACGATACAGGAGAAAATCCTACTATGGGGGTAACGTATTTTAAAACGAGAAAAGAGAGAGGAAACAAATTGGTGTTATTATTATGAACCCAATTTAGTTGTTATTATGAAAGTTCTTATGTGAATTTAAGTAGATGTTGTTATTATATAATAATTTCATTGATTTGTTTTTACCTACTTTTTAACCGACTTCGATAAAAGGAGGCGGTTCTCAATTCGTTGTTTTTTTGGTTATGTATGTTCTGTTCCCCGATTTCTCGAAGATGCCTGAACCGATTTGGAAAATTATTTTTTGGTTTGAAAGAATATACTTTCCAGATGATCCCGTGGTAATCGATGATGGTCAGATCAAGATATGATGATGGGATCTTGGAGAAATCGAGGGAACTCTTCAATAAATGACAGCAAATCAACCGTGATTGCTGCCATCGCGTATTTATGCATTCTTTACGCAACCACACAGTATAATATCACGCCTGTACCCACTAAAGGGACATAACTCTCAACTAAAAATAGTAACATTAAAATTTTTTGAATAAAATATTGTAAAATAATTATGTTTTTGTATTTTATTGTAGGTTATGCAAACATTACTGTAGGTACTATGTATTCTAAATAGGTATTTAAGTACCATAGCTATAATAGCCCACAGGTAACTCCCCGAAGTATATGCCAGCCATGTCTGGATAACTGCTTTTTCGACAGCGCGACTGATGTGAGTGGGGCTTTTATGTAGGTTAATTAAATAAATAAAAATGTTAGTTTGTAAATTGTTTATTGATTGTTTGTGTTCAATAGCGGTTTGCAACATTCTCTTACTACTTAGAAAGTTATCAACAATAGGAATTGTGTCACACTGCAGGGACAAGCACAAACGTCTATCAAAATAGTAACGTACCTAAACGGAATAGGACTAACAGCACAGACTTCCTTACAGAAGTCCAAAGAACACGTCTAGACAAGGTAAGTAATTAGAAAAAAACTACAATTTAGAGATCGATTGTAAATCAAATTCACAGTACAGACACAATTAGCGAAATATAAATAATTTTAATTTATTTTGTGATAGTAGATAACACTAGTTGAAAACTAAAAACTGTATGGGAATGACATCACTGAACTAGTCAGGTGGTCAGTCCAAACAAATAAAAGGCGCGATTGTAAAAAGAGATTCGTTACAAAACGTTTGTAGACTAGGGGGCATGGCCTGTTTATGCTATTGATAACGAAGGTTATAAAATATGTACAAATTAGAAACTAAATCCTATGTGTACTTATCTGTATTCATAACCCAATATCTGAGGTAGGTTGATGCGCTCCTTAATTTTTATATAGTTCGTATTATTCTGTAATAGGTAAATTAAATCTAAACCAAAATATATACTTTAATACCATAGCAAAGCTACTACTATTTTATTTTGTAGTAGCTGATATAGTAGTATAGTAAATTATATATAAAAAATATGAGTAAGTCTAAGGTAAGGTTAAATATAAACAAATATTTGCCAAGTGCGAATCCGACTTCCGTGCTTCCGTACCATCTTACAAGATTTAAATATACTACATACCATATCGATCAAAAAAGCCAAAAATACACGTTTCTTTTTCTAGTAGGAAACCCTTTAATTTTAAATTTATTTTTACTATTTGCTGTTATAGCGGCAACAGAAATACACGTTCTGTGAAAATAACAACCATCTACCTGTTACGGATCATGAGATGCAGCCCGCTGACAGACAGACACACGGACAGCGGAGGCTTCGTAATAGGGCCCTGCTGGTTACCCTTCGGGTGCGGAATCCTAAAAAGTACTTAGTTGTCCACTCACATCTGTATGGTTCTTTCGTCAAAGGACCATTAGCCACCTGCCTGATTCTCGTATAACATGACCAATGTAATACCTGAACTGACCTCTCTGAGTTTGTTTCGGCAGATCGGGTGCAACTTCTCAGTTTCATGTTTTTGTTGTGTTAGTGTTTTAAAAGAAATACGTGTGGCACTCGGCGACTGCCGCGGTAAAGCTATTGCATAGCATTTTTTATCAACTTATGCAATTATAATTATTTATTTATTTTATTTATGCAGTTAAGTCTTTGATATTAAATCAAGTTACACTTTTTGAGCGTGGTGACCGATAAGAAAACAATTTTTTTTCTCTTATTGAATAAATGAGAAGTTAATATTGTTTAAAATATTTTTAATATCTTACATGTAGGTTATTTAAGAATTTTTATCATTGAGTGAGCAGCTAGTGTACACGCATACGTCTAGTCGCACGCACACAAACACCGTGCCGAAGTCTGCCGAGTGCCGAAGTCTGCCGAACTGAAACGACGTTAGACGATCCACGGCTTTCAACGCCATACCTCCGTGCCCGTCGGAGTGGGAAGCGTGAGGTTTTTTTCGTTACGGAATTTCTGGATTCGGTCCCCGCGCTCAAGGCCCGCGATAGAAGCTATGCAATAGCTTAAAAACAACTTACAAGTTTTATTTATCATTGACTGCCCTTCTTAGATTCTTATGTAAAAGTAAAGTAAAGTAAAGTTACAGCCTATATACACGTCCCACTGCTGGGCACAGGCCTCCGCTGTCCGCTGCGCTGCCCCAAAGCGTGTTGGCGAACTTCACGTCTTCGAAATATATTTTTTTTTCTTATTTCTCTGACACGCAGGTTTCCTCACGATGTTTTCCTTCACCGCCGAGCACGTGGTAAATCAGCACTTAAAATTGCAATTAAAAATTTCATTGGTGCCGGCGGGGATCGAACCCGGTTTGCTCGCATACTGTGAAATTTAAAGCGAGCGCTAACCATCTGAGCTACCACGGCTCTTAATTCTTACGTACTTACATAAAATTTATGTAATTTAATTACATTAGGTATATTAGGTTATGAGATTCCTATACGTAAGCACGATTATCGAAAATCTAAAAATTACCTATTCTAATTAAATTTATAGATAATTTTAGGATTTTCGACAATCGTGCTTATCAATGAGATGTTTTCGTTAGTTGGCAAATTAAAGTAGTTAAGTACCTAATGTACTACCTGTATCGATAGTTCATTATTATGTACCTACCTGTTTTCAATTTTAACTACATGTGCTTCAACAAACTTATGGGTACATTTTACCAGCTATATTCATCCCGGCTTCAGCAGTGGAGACGAACAAAAGGAAGCAGTTTTTCTAAATAAAGATGTAGATATGTAGGTATTACAACCATAAATAGATAGCAGCGGCTAACCTAGTGAGCATGTGTGGGTGCGCGCCGCGCCCCCCCTCAGTCCGTCCCACTGATGAACTTCTATCTATAATCTTTGCCTTGAGCGGATACAAAAAACATTTTTATGGCAGCTTGCCTTTTCCAACACAAAATACATTATATTGCGAGCCGTTATCGTTACAACCTATTAAAAGACTACTACTGAACATAAAGAGGCCTATCTATAAATTGCCTCATAGGAACTATTGCAAATATACCCTATATTTGCAATAGTTCCCACGTTTGGCGGGCGGTTAGGAGACCGCAGTTGTTTCTGTGTTTGTTTCCTGCTGCCGCCTCGGGACACCCGCAGGACGTGGGCTGGTGAATAAACTTGCATCACCAATACACGGTCAACGTCAAGGCTTCTTGAACCGCTGCTTTTAAAATCAATACCTAGGGGGAGCATACGGACTCTTGATATAAACGTTAGAAGTTAAAATTCCAGGAACTAAATTGAAAAATGACTGATTATTTTGTAATTCGACGACATGGACCCTAAGATATCGAACTTGAAAGCTATCGGGGCAGGTTATAAGTAACTTGTGTCGTAAGATGGTATTAGTTATAGGAAACGACAAGACGAATTTCAAGAAAGTTCTTATCACAAACTAGTAAGAAGTACTAGAGTAGTTCATGTGGTTTCAGCAAGGTGGCGGAATTATCTTTTTTTATAAAAGCTAGAAAAATACACGGGTCAGCATAGGAAAACATAAGAATGTTGATTCAAGTGCGAAATGATGTGTTTAGATGTTTTTAAGTGAAAGATACGATTACGAACGAATTACAGTTTTTTTTAATGCAGACTTTATCATGGTATTTTCTTTCGTCTTCGCCGCACGGAAATTCAACACTTTGTTGCTCGCGTACCATCAATTTTAAAGGTACGTGGTAGAGCCATGCTGCAGTTATATTAGTAGTATAGTTGTAGCACGAATGGGTCGGCTCGACCGGGGAAAGACCCTCACAAGAATACCATGAAATAGTAGCTTAATGCTGCTGTATTTCGTATGGTGAGTGTAGAGAACCGGAGACCCTTTTTTACTGGAAACGAGGCATTCCATCTCCGTCCTCACGGGTGCCA